TACTCAGAAGTTTTTGATGCATTTAATGCTTATAAATCCAAAATTAAAATTGTTTTCCTTGCTGTCTCCAGTCTCGCAGCTTTCTCATGGAATTCCTGGAATATGTTAAGGTAAGGTGCCTTTGGTTTTTCTCCTTAGATGGTGTGAAATACCTTCTGTCACAATCTTTACTTCCTCTTTCATTTATTTAAATATTCAACAAGTAACAAAAGTGATCCCTTCGGTAATTGTTATTTACTGAACCAGCACAAACACAATAATCTAAAATAATTTAATTCCAGCTGGGTCCTGGCTTTTGGGGCAGGATGTGGCCTGGTGGATCTCCCTCAGAGTTTATGGAAGCAATGTTTGCTGTGGATTGGGATTTTTTGGGGCATTCGGGATTTTTTGTTTGTGAGCATCAGCCACTGATTTAAAAGCATTTTAAAAACAGGAAGGATTGCTGCTGTACCTGGAGGGTGGTTTTGAGCCTCCAACACTGGCGCTGGAAAGCTCAATCCCAACTTTTCTTGTGATTCCTTCCGTTTTTTTCTATCCTACATGGTTTTTTTACATTCAGGAGAGCACTTTGAGAAGCAGCTGCCTTGTTTTAACCAGGGTGTGTCAGTCTCCCTTCCCTCCCATTGTGTGGCTGGGTGTTTAAACCCTGGGCTGTGCTCATTTGTGCTTTTGATCTGTGAGGGCAAATTGCTGTATCAAAGGTCAGATGCATTTTTCTCCTCTCACTCCAACACTGGCATGCAAATCTTTTTTTCCTAATGAATCCCTTTGTTCTTTTACTGGAATCTGAACTATCAGGATGTGTGACCTGGGTGAAAGGCTTCTCCAGCAAACAAATCACTTGCTGCTGTATCACTTGATACTCAGTGAGCTGCTAACCAATTTATATCCCAAAATCTCACATTTTGCACGTCCATTATCCCAGCAAAACCCTGAATTTACAGCAGATTTATCTCCTGGAGTTAGGGATTTGCCTCATGGATAATTCTCCTTGGGGAGTCCTTTGGAAGTTCTGGACAGGAGCTCAGAGCAGAGCCCTGCAAAACTCTGCTGTAGGTCAAAAAGGAAATTCCAGTGTTCCTTGGGATCTTCCACAAGCACTGGGAGCTTTCCAGGGGATGGCACAGACTCTGCCCATTGGCCCTGGGGTTGTGGTGGATGGACCAGATTAGTCACAAACTCCCAGTTGAGTGTTTCAGCACAAAATTCTCTATCAGTCACTTCATCTTGACGTCAGAGAAATTAATGTTGGGCTGGAAACCCAAGTCTGAATGTTCGACACCTGATTTCCTCTGCAGAGCTGAGCTGCAGAACTGGGGCATTGCTTTCTTTCTCAAGTTTTAAATATTTTTCTTTAATCTTGAGATTGTGCTTAGTGTATAGATTATGTATTTCTGTTCTGTTTACAGAAGCCATTGACAGGAAGCAGTGCTGAGCTGCTCGTAGCTGTCAGGAAAAAAATGTATAAATTAAGAGGAATTGGCTTTTTTTTTTAAGTAAAATTGAATTTAGCTCTTCTGCTGAATAATTTCTTATGCTGGTATCATTGACTGGAGATTGCTCACCCTGTGCTTTATTCTTAAGGGTGTTGGGAGCAAAATGCAGCCTCTTGCTGAGGACAGGAGCAGCATCACCCCTAAAATGAAATTAATTCAGGAAAATATGGATTTTTTTTTTAATTTTTTTGTTGCTAAGCCTATCTCTAGAACATGATGCATGTGGAGAAGTGTTTTATTCCCTTGGGACCTCAATTGTTGTATTCCAGAGTGTGGAGGGTGCACCCTCATCCCACCCCCTTGGGCTCTCATTCCCAGCAGGACCTGTCTTGGAAAACTTCCACTAAACTTGGTCATTGAGGGAAATATCTTTAAGGGAAGGTTTAAGTCCTGTTTCTCCTGTTGATGTGGCTTTGCACCAACCCCCCCCAGTCCCTTTAAAAGAAGATGTGACGAATGTTGGCAGTTCCCAGCTCTGAGAACTGAATTCCATGGACTGGTTCCAGTTCCATGTGTTCAGTCCATGGTATTCAGTTCTCTAGCTTGGCTGCATCAAACTTCACAGCTGCTAAATCTGTGTGTGCCTTCCTTTTGGGTCTGGTTTCATTAATGAAAAAGATTCATCTATTTCAGCCTCTCTTGATTTCTTCAGTGGCCTCCCAGTGTGCTCTCAAGACCAGAAACAAAGGATTTCCTTGTTTGAAGTATTTTAATTTGTTACTGGAGATGCAGCTCCTGTGGCTGTACATAAATGGATTTTAGGAATGTAAACCTGAATATTAACTGAGCTTTCCAACACTTTTGTCTTTCCCAAGCTCCTTACAAACACTGCATCCTTTTGCAGCTAAACAGATGAGTTCCTAAAACTTTGGCAGAGAAGAAAACAGGACCCAGGTAGCTGCAGACAAGCCCTGCAGGTGTTTTCTCTGGAGAAGCACAAAACCAGATGGGAGCAGTGGTGGCTGTGCCTTGACTGAGAAAAGCTGCAGGAAAAATCTGTCAGAAAGCAAAATGACGATGTGCACTTCCAGCACTGACAATTTTAATAAGGTGTTGGCTTGCTTAGGAAGATTATTATGGCATTAAAACACATGGCATCAGTAAAACAGAACTAAAGCACTTAATGCTGCCAGTCTTGCCTGGTTTTATGGAAGTGCTGATACACACCAGTGATGTCTTAAAAGGTGCTTTGAAACATCCCTGAAAGAATAAAGGGATGTTGATAAAACACTCTGGAAATTTAAGGGAGAAGCTGAGAAACTCAGGAGGTGCAGGAGCAGAGTCCTTGTGCTCATCCCAGTGTGAGGAAAAGTCCAGGATCAATCAAGGCTGGCAGATGTGGGTCAGAGCACTCAGTCTTTCCACAGAGCTCCCTGCTTTAGGTAACCTCAGATTTTTTCATCACAGGAAAGTGCTTACTAGGAAAAGTTACTCAAAGGAACAGGTTCTGCTTCATCTGGTTAATGCATTTTTTATTGGAATGGAAAAAAATAAAAAAAATCCCAGCTTTCTCATTCATCAGCTTAACTCTTGTTTGTTTCCACAGAAAACAAAAGTTATCCAGCTGGAGGACATGGCTTCACATCTGGGTTTAAGGACACAGGTAAAAAAAAAACAAACAAAACTTGACTTTTGCGGTGGAAATACTAATTTTGCTAAATTTTGTCTCCCTCTTAAACCAGAACTCTGTTTAAATGTTGTGGGTTATTACAGGAATTTATCTAGTTAAAATCTAAATTATAATTGCCTTCTGCAGTCATATGACAACAAGAAAGAGAGGCAGAGGTGTAGAAACCAACAGTCAATGTGCAGTGGAACTTCATACTTGGAGTAACTGTGGAGTAAACCCAGCCATAAATTTAACAAGTTGTTGCTTTGGGTTGCTAGGAGAGGTTTGCTCCTAAAAGGAGCAGGAAAAGATACAAAAAATAGGGAATTTTTGAGCAAGGACCTTGGAGAAGGACCTCAGTGCTGCATGGAACTTCATGGCTCTGCACAGCCTTTCCATGGGAAGATTCCTGTAACCCCCTGCTCCTTGAAACAGCCAAGTAATGGCAATAAAAATCTCTTTTAAGAGGTAGGGAATTTAACTGGAACGTCCCAAAATACAAAAGAAAATCACCCCTCTAAGACCAAAGGGCTGATTCCATCTCTCTGTGTGGGAGTACTGAATTCCTTAACCCTGAGGGATTTCAAGGTGAACCTCTGGAGCTGATCTGAACGTGTGAAATGGTTTTTGCTTCCCTTTTATCAGTCTGTTACTCCTTTTTCTCTTCTGCACAGGATGCAATTAACAGAATCCAGGACCTGATGGCAGATGGCACCCTGACAGGTGACAGCCAAAGCACAGAGGGGATCTTCTGTAGCTGCTGGTGCAGAAAATCCTTCCTGGGGCAGAGACAGAATTCCAGTGTCATTCCCCTTCTGAGGATCTAGTGGGACTTGATAGCTAGATATTTATATTTTATTTATTTACCCNTTTTGCTCACAATGCATTCTATACTTTCCTTTGCTGAGCATCTTCATACAGTAGAACCAATCTATAACTTAACTTTTATCTCTAGCCTATCATAACTACTGTAATTACCATATTCATGTTACTGTTCTCCAATCACTAAAAGTCAGTGCATTACAGTTTAAGCCAGAAGTTGTTTTTCAGTTTTCTTGCAGTGGAAATTTCTGAGACCTTTTTTCTACTTGCAACATTTGCTGCCTTGTTTGCCTGTGCTCTCTTTCTGCTTGGTAAAAACATCTTCTTGTTTGGGGCGGGTTTATCCTTTGCTCTGAGCCATAAAAACTCCTTCTAACTAACACACCCTTTGCCTCCTTGGTTATCCAGTGAGACTGGCTCAGCAATTCTTATCTTCTATATCAAAACTTGCTTCCAGCTCTATACCTTCATCAGACTCTACATTCAAAAATCTTTCTGCTAACCACACACATCTGTGAGACTTTCTTGTCAAACTTTCATCCTTCCCAACACGTCTCAGCCCCTGTTCCAGCTTCTCAGGGCTCAGCAGAGCTGGGGGCTCTGCTTCTCACCCAGCAATGAGATATTGAGGTGATAACTGGGATATTGGGGTCAAATTAACCAAAATTTCCGAGTTTTACCTCTTTTAGCAAGATGGAAAAGCCATGGGAGGAATGACACCACTCCTGGATGCACTGAAAAGGGCAGGATTGCCACAAAAGCTGTGCAGCATCATCAGAGCAGGCCAGGAGCAGGGAATTCTTTGAGGGTTTATCTTGTATTTGTGGGGTTCCCAGACAAAGAAAGGAATGATGAATCTGATTCCATGTTCTTAGACGGCTCATTTATTATTTTAAGATATTCAGTTATATAGAGAATACTGTACTAAACTATACTAAAAAACACAGGAAGGATACAGACAGAAGTCTAAAAAGATAATAATGAAAACTCGTGACTCTTTCCAGAGTCCTGGCACAGCTTGGCCCTAACTGGCCAAAAAGTGAAAACAACTCACATGAAACCAATCAAACAATCACCAGTTGGTAAACAATCTCCAAACACATTCCAAAGCAGCAAAACACAGGAGAAGCAAATGAGATAAGAATTGTTTTCCTTTTCTCTGAGGCTTCTCAGCTTCCCAGGAGAGAAATCCTGGTGAAGGGGTTTTTCCAGAAAATATGGCAGTGACAGGTTTAGATGCTGCTGCTGCTGAGCAGAGGCTTCAGAGGGTTTGGGAAGGGCTATTCCAGCCTCCCAACAGGGGAAGCTGCTTAGCACAGGGGTGTGATGCTGAGAGCTCATTAGTGTTTGTTAATGAGCCTCGAGAGCAGAGAGCACCCCGCGGGTTTGCACAGAGAGCTCTTGGCAATCAGGTGTGGCATTACACTGAGCTGTCCCTGGGGATGTGTCCCTCCACCTGTGGCCAATGCCACTCCCAGCAGGGCAGGTGATGAGCTCTGGGATCCTGGGAGGTGGAGAGCTGTGGGATGCAGCTCAGGGCTGTGCTGGAGAGCTCCAGGGAAGGGTTTCCCATAGAATTACAGAATCTGGGGGGAAAGAACCTTGAAGATCATCTCATTCTATCCTCTGCCATGGCAGGGACACCTCCCACTGTCCCAGGTGGTTCCAAGCCCCATCCAACCTGGCCTTGGACACTGCCAGGGATCCAGGGGCAGCCACAGCTTCTCTGGGCACCCTGTGCCAGGGCCTGCCCACCCTCACAGGGAAGAATTCCTGCCCAATCTCCCATCCATCCCTGCCCTCTGGCAGTGGCAGCCATTCCCACTTTCAGCATCCTTCCCTGGAGTCAGGACACAGCTCCAAGTGCTGCTCAAGGAGGGCAAGGGCCGTGTTTGGTTGTTTCAAGTTCTCAAGACTTCTCTGTTAAGTCAATAAATTCCTTTTGCCTGCTCAATCTGATGCTTTCATCCCTGGAAGTGTCCAAGGCCAGGTTGGAGCAATCTGGGACAGTGAAAGTTGTCCCTGGAATGAAATGGGATTTAAGATCCCCTCCAACCCCACCCAAGCACTGGGGGGATCACTCAGCCCCCCTGATTTGTTCTCCTGTTGTCTCAAGCCCTGGAGCTGGTTCATCCCCAGCAGAGAGCAGGAGCAGCACAGGCCCTGTCCTGGGGCTGCTTTCCAGCTGCTCCATCTTTCCCTCTGGCATTCAGCTCCAGCCAGAGGTGCTGACAGTGCTGGTGTCACCCTGCTGGGCCTGACACAGCACAAACAGACACTGCCCTGCTGCTGTTCCAGCCCTGCTGACCAGAGAGGGACTGACACAGCAGATACACACAGAAAAACACACATCATCATCATCATCATCATCATAATCATCATCATCATGCCTTTGGGATCCTGAGCAATCTGCACTTGTGCAGTTTCAGGTTTCTTCTCTGGAAGGACTCCACCTGTTTTTCATGGGAATTTCCTGTGACGGTGTTCACAGGTGTTCTTGGATGAGGGAAGAGACGAGGATCTGACTCCATGTTTCAGAAGGCTTGATTTATTATTTAATTATATATATTACATTAAAACTATACTAAAAGAATAGTAGAAAAGGTTTCATCAGAAGGCTAGCTAAGAATAGAATAAGAAAGAATGATAACAAAGGTTTTTGTCTCAGACAGAGAGTCTGAGCCAGCTGGGCTGTGATTGGCCATTAATTGGAAACAACCACATGAGACCAATCACAGATCCACCCGTTGCATTCCACAGCAGCAGATAACCATTGCTTACATTTTGTTCCTGAGACCTCTCAGCTTCTCAGGAGGAAAAATCCTAAGGAAAGGATTTTTCATCAAAAGATGTCTGCGACAATTTCTCTGGACAGATCCTGACTTATTTCAGAATTTGAGCAGCTCTGAAGGGCTGCAGCTTTCAGCAGCTCAGCTCTGGGTGAGCTGCACTGTCCCAGGCCATGTCCCCACGGTCTGGGGAGCCAGGAGAGGAGGAGGAGGATGGCACAGGGAGAGCTCCCAGGACAGGGAGCTCAGCTGAGCTGCCCAGCTCCACAGAACCCACTCAAGGAGAGTGGGAAAGGCACAGCTCAGCTCTCCTGGGCTGCTGGAGAGATGCTGCATGTCTCTGTCTGCTTTTTCCCCTTGCTGATTTTCCCTGCTGTCATTATTTGCCTGACTGGCAGGAAGGATTCACACTGACTTAGCAGAAGTACATTCACATGCACACTCATCCCAGAGAGCTGCCACTCACCAGCATGCCAAGATATTTTGGGTAAATTGAAATGGAGTAGAATGAAGCCAGAATGCAAAGCAAACTGCTTGTGCAGACAGCACAAAGCACTGGGGATGTTTGCAAAGGACCTTGGTGTTCTCTGCTGGAAGGTTGATTATGCCAGGAAAATCATCCAGCCTGCTGCCCAAAGCAGCCTGAACTTCACTTCTGATCTCTGAGGAGCTTCACTGTGGCATTCACACTCTCTGGAAAAATCCCTTTGCCCAGGATTCTTCTCCTGGGAAGCTGAGAAGCCTCAGAGAAAAAGGAAAACAATTCTTAACTCATTTGCTTCTCCAGTGTTCTGCTGCTTTGGAATGTGGTTGGAGATTGGTTAAACAACAGGTGATTGTTTGATTGATTTCATGTGAGTTATTTTTGCTTTTTGGCCAATTGGGGCCAAGCTGTGTTGGGACTCTGGAGAGAGTCAGGAGTTTTCATTATTATCTTTTTAGCCTTCTGTGTTTATTCTTTGGTGTAGTTTAGTTTAGTATTCTTTATATAGTATAGGACATAAAATAATAAATTAGCCTTCTGAGAACATGGAGGCAGATTCATCATTCTCCTGTGTTGTGCTCATGTGGAATGTGTTTGGAGATTGTTTACCCACAGGTGATTGTTTCATTGGATTCTGCTGGGAGTTGTTTTCACTCTTTGGCCAATCAGGGCGAACCTCTGGGAAGAGTCATGAGTTTTCATTATTATCTTTTTAGCATTTAGTAAGAATCCTTTCTGTATTCTTTAGTGTAGTATAGTAGTCTTTAATATAATGTAGAATATAAAATAATAAATCAGCCTTCTAAGAACATGGAGTCAGATTCATCATTTCCTCCTTCATCCTGGGGACCCAGCAAATGCCACAGCCTTGGACATCTCAGCGTGTGAATGTCACTCATTTCGTGTCCTATCATGACACGAGGCTGTCCCCAGCTCTGCTGGCATTTCCCAGAGGAGATTCCTACCCCAGAGCTGCCATTCCCTGGGGGATGCAGATCCCTGGCACTGCAGCATCCCCCCCTGCATCCCTGCATCGGTGACACCTGGCCTGGTTGCCATGGGAACCCGCGGTGTCCCCGTGTCCCCTGCGGCCCTGGGTATCTGTGCCCTGAGCAGAGCTTTCCCCGCTCTCCCGCACTGGAGCAGCCCCTGGGGCTGGGAATGGGCTCCCAGCTGGGGATGCTGCTGGAATTGGTAGCAGTGAGGGCAGCCTGGGGTCACTCTGCACCCCAGGAGTATTTCCCAGCTCCAGCTGCTGTTGGCCAGGCTGGAGGCAGCAATTCCAGGCTGCCTGGAATTGTTCACATCTGCACATTTTGGATGCTGGTGGGGAGGTGAGTGAGCAGAGCTGGCCAAATATTGCCAGGAAGCCTCTCTCTTGGAAAAAAAAAAAAAAGAACTGAAAACCATTAGCATCCACGCCATGTATCCATCCCCAGAATCAGAACATTCAGGTATGTTTTTAGTCAAGATGCAGAGGGTGTTGACTCTGATCAGTTTCAGGGTGGGGTTGATGCTGTTGAACAAAATCCCACAGAACCATGGGATGGTTTCGGTTGGAAAGAACCTTAAAGCTCATCAAGTCCTACCCCTGCCATGGGCAGGGACATTTTCCACAATCCCAGGTG